CTCTCTCACACACACACACACACTCACTCACACACACACACACACACCACACTGTCTCTCTCACACACACACATACACACTCACTCACACACACACACACACACCACACACTGTCTCTCTCACACACAAACACACACACTCACTCACACACACACCACACACTGTCTCTCTCCCACACACACACACACACTCACATATGATGCATGGGTGAGAAATAAATTGAGACAATGAAAGAAACAATTGACCCTTTTGCAAATCACTGCTTGTAATTTTCTGACTTATTTACTTTCAGAGCAATAAAAACTGCTGGAAAAGGCAAGGACCTGGAGAGGAGCGATATCCCACTCCAGGAAGCCCACCTATCATTGATGAAACAGACTGTGTGACCAGGTGCAGCTCACTCCCAGCTATCAGCCCTCTGAGCAAAGAAATGATAACAGACGTTTTGTAATCTATGTCCACTTTTTCACAACAAGCATTTAATAAAGCCTTCTCAACCTTCAACATTTCCAAATTGTACTTTAAGCACTAGATAACTGAAGCGATAAGATAAATCTAAACAAACGAATTACAAGCAAATGACAGCCTCAGTCCAAATTCCAGTCTGTTTCTTAACAGATATCCTTGTGTCCTCCTGGCTTAATTGTTAAAAAATAATTTTGAATTGAACAACACTGAACTGGGATCAATCCTTTTGATTTCGATGTGATTTATTATTGTCACATGTACCTCGGTAGAGTAAAAAGTTTTGTTTTACGTGCAGTACAGGCAGGTCATACCATACACAGTGCATTAGGGTAATAGAACAGAGTGAGGAATACAATGTTACGGCTGCAGGGAAGGTGCATAGAGAGTGAGATCAACATTAAGTTTAAAATTTGAGAGGACCATTCAGAAACAGGGAAGAAACTATTTTTGAATCTGTTGGTCCATGTGTTTAAGTTTTGTATCTTCTGCCCGATGGAAGAGGTTGGAAGAGATTATTACCGGGGTGGGAGGGGTATGTGATGATGTTGGCCTGTCTTCCTGAGGCAGGGGGAAGTGTAGATGGAGTCAATGGATGGGAGGTTGGCTTGTGTGATGGACCGAGCTGCCTTTCCAATCCCAGGACTGTGCAGTACTGTCTTACTGGAGGTGGCGCACTTGGTCTTGGTTCTTGTCCTGCGACAGTGAAGGCATATAACCATCATGAACAACATCCTCAACCAGAGGTAAATCTTTGCCAATGTTCCTAGATTGTCCATTGTATGTCTCAATGCAACACTATTAAACTGTTATAAACCAATTGTCTCAAATGGATCCATGATTTGAGCACTGTCGCAGCCAATTAGAACCGTTCAGGAAAGAAATTCTGGCTCCAGACTGAAGTGCATGCATTTATTTAAGTTACATACAAGCAGATGAGGGTTAATTACAGACGCCTTTACACTTGCACTTTGTTTTTATTTAAATAACCACTTCAATACGCTCTTGACTGGAAAATGGGTTTCAAAGGAGATGCGAGGGGTATGTTTTTTTACACAGAGAGAGCGGTAGGAGCGTGGAACATGCAGCAAGGGGATGGTGGTGGGGGCAGATACAATAGGGGCATTTAAGGGGCTTTTGGACAGCACACGACAATGCAAGGAATGGAGGGATTTGCGCCAAGGGCAGGGAGAAGGGATTAGTTTAATTTGGTGTCATGTTCGGCACAGCATGGTGGGCCGAAAGGCCCGTTCCCGTGCTGGGTTATAAGCTCTGCGTGTGAATGCCTCCCATTGAAAGGCACCTCTACCACATTTGCAGGTAGTGCAGATACTTGTCCTTTTCTCTCACAACTCCTTCGCTTCTTTTGCAAATTATAAAGTCAGGCAGCACAGAAACAGGCCCTTCAGTCCAACTCGTCCATGCTGACCGGACACCCCAATCTGACCCTACTCCCATTTGCTAGCATATCCCTCTAAACCCTTCCTATTCATGTATCCATCCAGATGCCTTTTAAATGCTGTCATTGTACCAGCCTCCACCACTTCCTCTGGAAGCTCATTCCATACACGCACCACCCTCTGCGTGAAAAAGTTGCCCCTTAGATCCCTTTTAAATCTTTCCCCCTCTCACCTTAAACCTATGCCCCTCTAGTTTTGGACTCCCCGACCCTGTGGAAAAAAACCTTGTCTATTTACCCTATCCATGCCCCTCATGGTTTTATAAACCTCTATAAGGTCACCCCTCAGCCTCCGACGCTCCAGGGAAAATAGCCCCAGCCTATTCAGCCTCTCCCTGTAGCTCAAACCCTCCAACCCTGGCAACATCCTTGTAAATCTTTTCTGCACTCTCTCGTGTTTAACAACAAGTTACCTTCAATCTGTTTCCTCTCGTTTTTATTCCATTTACAAGCAGGATCAGTCCCCCTGCACTGTCTCTATCCAGCCCCACGATTTTGAAAAAAAAACTTTCAGATCTTTTAGACTTTTCTCTCGAGGAAAACAGTCCCAAACTCTCCAATCTGTCCTCATGACTGAAGTTTCTCATTTGAGTTATAAAGAAAGGCTGGAAAGGCTGGGACTTTTTTCACTGGAGCATAGGAGGTTGAGGGGGTGACTTTATAGAGGTTTATAAAATCTAGAGAGGTATGGATAAGGTGAATGGGAGGTGCCTTTTCACTAGGGTGGGGGGATTTCAAGAACAGGGGGCGTATTTTTAAGTCAAGAGGAGAGAGATTTAAAAAGGACATGAGGACAACTTTTTTTTTACACAAAGGGTGGTTTGTGTGTGGAATGAACTTCCAGAGGAAGTGGTGGATGTGGGTACAGTTACAACGTTTAAAAGACATTTGGATAAGTACATGAATAGGGAAAGGTTTGGAGGGATATGGGCCAGGAGCAGGCAGGTGGGTCTAGTTTAGTTTGGGATTATGTTTGGCACGGACTGGTTGGACCGAAGGGTCTGCTTCTGTGCTGTATGACTCTATGGAGACATTTTCATAAATTTCTCCTGCAATTTCTCCAATATGTTCACATTCTTCCTACAGGGTGGTGCATAGAACTGTGCACAATATCCCAGCTGAGGTCTGACAAGTGCCTAGTATCCTCTATTAATAAACCCCAGGGTACTGTCTGCTTTTATTCACTGTTCTCTCTCTCTACCCGTCCTGCCACCTTCAATGATCTGTGCACATACGCACCTCGCTCCTGCACCCAATTTCAAGTTGTTCTGCCTATTTGACACTGTCTGCCCGATGCCAAAATGCATCACCTCACACTTCTCTGCACTGAGCTTCATCTGCCACCTGTTTCTCCACTCCCTCACATTGTCTGTGCCCTTTCCAAGTCCTGCACTGTCCTCCAGACAGTTCACAACACTTCCGACTGCTGCATCGTCCACAAATGGCCCCCGCGCAATTGTTTACACATTACAGCTAAAGCAAGGATCCCAACACAGAACCCCCTAAGGTACACCATGACCATCCTTCCCTCCAGCCTGGGCAACATCCATTTACCGTTCGTCTCTGTTTCCGATTATTCGGCCAAGTTTGTGTCCCGTGTTGCACTAACCCTTTTATTTCATGAGCTACTGCTTTTCGCAAAAGTCAGTTGGGTGGAACTGTATCAAACACCTTCAGGTATTTCACAGCCTTACTCTCATCGACCTCTATACCTGTTACCTCTTCAAAACAACTCCGTCAAGTTTAAACATAACTCCCCCTTTAGAAACCCATGATGACTCTTTCTAATTAGCACATCTTTTCTTGGGGGGTAACTTTATAGAAGTTTTTAAAATCGTGAGGGCACAGATAGGGTTAATGGTAAGTGTCTTTTCCCTAGGATGCCAGGGAGGGGAATTTCAAGACCACGGGGTTACATTTTTAAGGGGAGAGGAGAAAGATTTAAAAAAAGACATGAGGGGCAAATTTTTTACACATTCGTGTGTGGAATGAACTTCCAGAGGAAGCGGTAGATGTGGGCACAGTTACAATAATTAACAGACGCTTAGATAAGTACATGATTAAGAAAGGTTTGGAGGGTATATGGGTTAGGAGAAGGCAGATGGGACTAGTTTAGTTTGGGATTGTGGTCAGCACGGACTGGTTGGACCGAAGGGTCTGTTTCCGTGCGGTATGACTCTATGACTGTATGTGGCTAGTAATCCTAATCCTGAATGATTGCTTCCAGAAGATACCTCAACATTGAGGTCAAACTGACTCGCCTGTAATTGTTGAGTTTATCCTTAAAACCTTTCTTCAACAAGGCTGTGATGGGGTTAGGGTTAAGATTAGCTACAGGGTTAGAGTTAGGGTTAGGTACAGGGTTAGAGTTGAGTGTTAGGATTATGGTTAGGTTTAGGGTTAGGTACAGGGTTAGGGTTAGGGTTAGGGTTGGGTGTTAGGGTTAGGTGTTAGGGTAGATACAGGGTTAGAGTTAGGGTTAGGTACAGGGTTAGAGTTGAGTGTTAGGATTACGGTTAGGTTTAGGGTTAGGTACAGGGTTAGGGTTAGGGTTAGAGTTGGGTGTTAGGGTTAGGTGTTAGGGTAGATACAGGATTAGGGTTAGGGTTGGTACAGGGTTCAGGGTTAGGGTTAGGATTGGGTTTGGGTATTAGGGTTAGGCGTTAAGGTTAGGGTTAGGGTTAGGTTTAGGTACAGGATTAGTGTTAGGGTTAGGGTTAGGGTTGGGGTTTGGTGTTAGGGTTAGGTGTTAGGGTAGATACAGGATTAGGTTTAGAGTTAGGTACAGGGTTAGGGTTAGGGTTAGGGTTAGGGTTGGGGTTAGGGAAGACTGTAGTGATTGGAATGAGGTTGGCCAGATGGATCGCACAACCTGTGAGATCCCTGATTGGGGCTGTTAACCTGGGCCAATCAGGGAGCCCTGGCTGACAGATATAAACAGAAGATTCAGGGTCTCTCCTTAGTCTAGGGACTGGCTCTGAACAAGCTGGTCAGAGCCCACATACTGCGCACGTGTAAATAAAGGCAGAAATAAAGGTGAAGGGATACCAGCCTCTGTGCACTTTCAAAAACAGAAACACGGGTTTCCCGGGCACTGCAGCACTCATTCACAAGCATAACGCCAATCCTGTACTGACAGCAAGCTTCACCAAGCTAACACTGCCCTGGGTATTCTTTCTTGGAGTTCCAATGTTGCTCAGTTGCTAGTTCTCGTGAACATCTCAATCCCCAATCTCCGAGCAACGGTGAAATATTAATGGACACAATCTCTATCCAACCCACTAATGGCTTCCCCCAACATACAACCAGTGAACTTCCCAGTTTCTCAGCTTCCCAGAATTTTTCAGAGTCCTGACTCCAGCACCTAGCTACCTGAATTCTAGACACATCATTGACTCCCCTATGCGCATTCCGCACAGTCTAATCATTTTCCCAGCAGTACAGCTTCCTGCAGTATTAACATGGAGTTTGCTGTTGTCTCTCTCTCTTCCATGTCTTCATTCCCTACCTGTAACCTTTGAACTCCCCTACAGTGACCCATGAACTGTCCTTGGGGACGTATTGAAAATTTTGTAATGAGGTCCTCCCTTGTTGCTGGGCAGAACTGAATGTTGCCACAGAGCAAACAGTTCCATAAATTTTACCAGCCATCGTTTGCTAGCAAATTCATTATACAAAAAGGAAGATACAAAAAGAGGATTTCATCTCACAGATACCCCTTGGAGGAAAGCAAGCTCCACCATAGAGAATATTTTACAATGGCTTTGGAATTCAATAAGTTCTTATAAGCTTCCAGCATAAAGATTATAAACCTCTCATTCATATAATTGCATACGCAGTTATAGGAAGGATACTACTAAGCTGGGTTCAGAAGAGATTTACCAGGATTTGCTGGGTATGAAAGGTTTCAATTCTAAAGAAAGGCTGGATAAGCTGGGACTGTTTTCACTTGAGGTTGAGAGGCAACGTTATAGAAGTTCATAAAATAATGAGGGGTATAGATAGAGTTAATGGTAGCTGTCTTTTCCCTAGGGTGGGGGATTTCAAGACCAGGGGGCATATATTTAAGGTGTGAGGAGAGAGATTTAAAAAAGACACAAGGGGCAATTTTTTTACACAGAGAGTGTTTCGTGTGCAGAATGAGCTTCCAGAGGAAATGATGGATGCGGGTACAGTTAATAAAATCTCTCTCAGATCAACTGATCCGGCATCCACTGCCACCTTGTGGAAGAGAGTTCCAAACCTCTACGACCCTTCGTGCTTCCTAACATCTCTCCTGTACGCTCGGGCCCTCATTCTCAGACTAGGCCCCTAGTTCTAGAATCTCCAACCAGTGGAAATAGTTTACCTACCCTGCCTTT